CTCTCTCTGGTCAACTTCAAAAAAGTAAAATAAAATAATGACAATGACAATCAACTGTGGTTGGCCATGTGGGAATCCAACATCCTTAACCACCACGTTACCTATTGGCCCCTATGTGGGATATTATACAAGCTGTAAAAAAAATTCACTAAAAACAACAAACAAAAAAAACAGGGCAGCTCTGTATGTAGTGACATGAATCACCAGAAAAAAATAAGTTAAAAAAAAGCAAGTTATAGAAAAGTGTCAATAGGCTGTTGCCATTTCTTTTCTTTAGTTTTTGCTATTGGGTGTGTGCATTTGCCAGAGAAAGACACAGACAGAAGGAGAGAGAGAGAAAGAGTAAAAAGTTACAGGGATAGCCACATTGCAATCTCTTCTCCTCCATCCTCTTCCCAGGATTTTGGGCACACACACATATGCACCCAACATGTCTTCCAAGTCACCAGGCCCAGAATTTGAACCATGCAGTTGACTATGTGGGACCCAGTGCCTCAGCTACAAAGCCATCTGCTGGTTGCTGCCATTTCTACTAATAAAACACATCTGTATGTGAACAGATTGTTTGTAAGGGAATACAGAAGGGAAGGGTGGGGTCTGAGGGATGGGGAAGACAAGGAAACTCCATTGAAAGCTGTTTTGTAACCTGTGCATGTGGAGTCTATTAAAATTTGAAGCATTTTTCCCCACTCAAAGACTTAAAAGGTTTTGGGACCAGCAGTTGGCATAATGGCTATGTCGCTGGACTCCCATACAGTAAACCACGGTTCAAGTCCAGACCCGGTGGCTTAAACTCACGCCGGGCATGTGTGTATATATGTCCAAGATACCGAGAGGAGAATGGAGAAGGGATTGAAGCATGGCCATCCCCCCTGGGGAGGAGGGATGATTTCTCACTTTCTGTCTGTCTTTCTGGTGAGCGCATGTGCCCTACAGCAAAAGTCTACCCACTCACCCCCCCCCAAAAGAAAAAAAACAAAAACAAAAAACCAAGACTTAAAAGGTTGTATGTACTCTGGCCAGTAATGTGAAAGCTAGGTTAGTTCTTATGTTGGGTTCTTGGATAATTACTGAAAGTTAGATCACAGTCACTTCTTCTAGGGTCCAGTTTGTGGGAAAGTGGTAACACACTGGACCTACATGGAAAAGGTTCTGGGTTCATGTCCTGAGACCTCCCTGAGCACATATGTGCATGTGATCTGGCATGTCTCTTTTTCTCATGGAAGAAATAAGTAAACTTTTTCAGAAAGTAGATTATTAAAAAGCATTAAATTGGGACCAGGAGTTGGTGTAATGGCTATGTCACTGAACTCCCATGTAGTCAACTGTGGTTCAAGTCCCGGATATGGTGGCTTAAACTCATGCGGGGTGCATATGTGCGCTTGCCCAAGATACTGAGAGGAGAATGGAGGAGAAGGGATTGCGGCGTGGCCATCCCCCGGGGAGGTGATTTCTCACTTTCTGTCTCTCTGTCTCTCTCTGTCTTTCTGGTAAGTGCATGCACCCTATAGCAAAAACCTCTAAAAAAAAAAAGTACTTGTGGGGTCCAGCAGATGGTGCAATGGTTATGTCACTGGACTGCCACGTAAGTGACCACAGTTCAAGTCTCAGACCCAGCAGCTTGAAACTCATGCTGGGCATGTGTGCATGTGTCCAAAATCTGGAGAGAATAGAGGGGAAGGGATTGTGGCATGGCCATTCCCCCTGGGGGATGATTTTTCACTTTCTGTCTCTCCAGTGAGTGCACATGCCACATATCAAAAATCTCTCTTAAAAAAAAAATAGTACTTGTGGCTAATAGATCAGTTTACTAAGAATTGAATGTAGTGTAAGCTAAATTTCCAGAGAATCATCACTGTCTACAAAAAAATGTTCTCACACAGCCCATTTATCTACATTTCAGCATTCCTCACTGTTAAAGTACGAAGCACCCTAGCTTTAAAAAAATCTTTTTAGGTTTTTATCATAGGGCATGTATGTGTGTTCACCAGAGAAAGACAGAGAGAAAGTGAGAAATAACCCCCCAGGAGGATGGTCAGCCACAATCTCTTCATTCTTTTCCTGGGATTTTGGGCATGCATGCACACATAGTGGAATGATTATCAATCTGCTGGGTCTGTGACTTTAAATGCAGTTGGACATGTGGGAGTCTAGTGCCTTAACCACCACGCCACTTACTGCCTCCTACCCTAGCATGTTTATTCATCTCTCTTAAGTGCTTCTGTATTTCTCTGACTTTCTTCTGAAAAGATCTACCTCTAAATTTCGATAAATTTAATGTACATTAGGCTGCTATGTTAAAAACTTATAAACATGAAAATTATGAATAGAATAATTCCTAAAATTATGAAAGTAAACTTGCTCATGCAATAAATTATAAACTTACCATCTTTGGTTATTCTCAACATTCAATCTTGTAGGATTTTTAATTTTTTTTTTTAATAGGGTCTTGTTATGTTGCCCAGACTGGCCTTGAATTTATGATCCTCCTACCTGCCTGCTTCAGTCCCTTGAGTAGATGGGACTACAGACACATGGCACAGCTCCCGGCTATCTTTTGAACATTTTTTTTTTTTTAACAAATTAGGTATTATGACACTGTAACATTGTATTTACATATATTACATAAAGCAATAATTAAGAATGAAATTCCCCTGAGATCATGAAAAACAATTAGAAGTTATGTATATACTCTACCTTCCAATTAGTTGTGGTGCCCTGATATCAAAGACATCTAAGTAAATGTAAAATAGAGGTTAAATGCTAACATTCTTCAAAAATATCCTGGGTGACCTGTATACCAGTGTTCTTAGCAGCATGTCCATTGGCAGATGAACGGATGAACAAAATGTACTCCATGTGTACAAAGGGATATTATTTAGTCTTAAAATGAAAGGACATTCTGACACATGCATGAACCTTAAATTCATCATTTATATTATTTATTTATGTTTTTTAGGTTTTTGCCACAGGGCACACGTGCTTGCTAGAGAGAAATAGCGAGGGGGAAAGTAAGAAATCACCTCCCAAGTAGGAGGGCTATGCCATAATCCCTTTTCCTCCATTCTCCTTTAGGGATTTTGGGCATGCACACACACACACATGCCTTGGAGTGATTTTCAAGCTGCAAGATCTAGGACTCAAACCACGGTAGGCCATGTGGGAGTCTAGCACCTTTACCATCATACCACCTGCTGGCTCGAAGTTATCATTTCTAAGTGAAATGAGCCAGTCACAAAACAACAAATACTGTATGATTCCTCTTATAAGAGGGACCTAGAGGTCCTCTTAGGAACAGAAAGTATCAATAGAATTGTGGCTGCCAGGGGCTGGGGGAAGAGAAAATGAGGAGTTAGTGTTTAATAGGCGTGGGGTTACAGCATGGGGTGATAAAATAGTTCTGGAGACGCATAATTGCACAACAATGTAAATGTTTAACAGTACTAAATTGTACAATTAAAAAATGGTTAACATGGCAAATTTTATGTTACATATGTTTTATCACAATTAGAAGCAGGACAGCAGTATTATTAAAATAAAAAGATCCTAGGTGATCAGGTTAACCTCCTTTTAGGTTACATGGAAGATAGCAATGCATTTCTTTCTTTTTTTGAGAGAGAGATTTTTGCTATAGGGCCCATGCGCTCACTGGAGACACAGAGACAGAGAGAGAGACAGAAAGTGAGAAATCACCCTTCCCCCCAGGGGGTGTAGCTACATGGCTATCCCTTCTCCTTCATTCTCCTCTCGGATTTTGGGCACACATGTACATGTGCCTGGTGTGAGTTTAAGCCGCTGGGCCTGGGACTCAAACTGAGGTCAACTATGTGGGGGGTCCAGCAACGTAACCACTATGCCATCTACTGGTCCCAGCAATGCATTTCTTTTTATTATAAAAGGAATAATATATTGAAAATACTCACTTGCTACATCCTTGATGCCTTTGAAAATCATGTTTTTCTCTCAAATAAGCTGCATATTTGAGAATGGATTGGCCTGCCACAGTCCAGCTCTGGCAAGGAATAAAGTGATTCTGCCATAAAGAGACAAAAAAACCTGAGACTGGATGGAGGACACAGCTGACTTTCAGTAGATGGTCAAGACCCAGTCAGGATTGGGCCAAGTCAGCCTGCGGAACTCCTGGTTTGAGAATGCGTGGAGAGCCTATGCCATGAGCCTCTTAGTCCTGGCCTTTGTGGGACATGGCCAGTAGGCTGGCCTGGAACATCTCCATAGAAGTCAAGAGGAATCAGAGGACCTGCCCTTGGGACAGCTGCTTCCCATAGTACCCAAAAAGACATACCTTCTAGACACCGTGACATCATCTTAAAGCGAAAGCAGATGAGAAGACTATAACTTTGAATTATTAAATATCTCACAGAATGAACTAGCCCAAAAGGCTTTAAATTGCAAGAGATGGAGAGAGTTGATTCTTGGTATCTGCAGTAGTCATGTTCTACAAAGTCACCAAAACATGAATTAATGAAAACTGAACACTGTTTCTAGGAAAATACAGAGTTAGGTTCCTGTGAGCCTGTCATAACATTTTCATCAGCTGATCAATCCCCAACTTGTCTTATATGTTTCTTTTCTTTTTAAACAGGGTCTTGCTATGTTCCAATCCTTCTGCCTCAGCCTCCCAAGTTTCTGGGATTACAAGTGCGTGCCACATGCCGGGCCTTTAGGTTGGATGAGAATCAAACCCTGGCCTCCCATGTGGTCCTAGCCTGCACAGTGCAACATCTCTGCAGTATGTGCCACTGTAGCTGGGTCTGTATATTCCTTTTTGAAGCCTGAAGGAAGCTTCTCTCTTTTTTTTATTTGTTTTTTGGAGAGGTTTTCGCTATAGGGCGCATGTGCTCACCAGACAGACAGAGAGAGACAGAGAGACAGAAAGCGAGAAATCACCCCCTAGGGGAGATGGTCACGCCGCAATCCCTTCTCCTCCATTCTCCTCTCGGGATCTTGGGCACGCACGCACACGTGCCCGGCTTGAGTTTTAAGCCACCGGGTCCGGGACACGAACCATGGTCGACTACGTGGGAGTCCAGCGACATAGCCATTACGCTAACAGTTGGTTCCAAAAGAAGCTTCTCTTGCACATGTAGTTTCTTTACAAGGCATGTCACAGCCTCCTTGCACTTAGAAACACTAGCAGTACTTCAGCACTATACTTGGGGTTATTTTAAACAGTGGAGAAAAGAAAAGCACAAAAAATATGAAAAGGTGGCACTAGGTAGACCATAACAAAGACACCTGTTCACAGTGTAAGAGCTGAAACAAGAAGGCAGAGTGTCCCTTGTTTGACCTCAGCTGGCCACATGTCAGGTGATTCAGTGGGATTTTTTTTGCCATTCTGTGCATATCTGGAAATAACTGAGAAAGTGCCACAAGTATTGATTTGGGGGTTACAAATAAATTTTAGGGAGTAGGCAAATTCCCCAGCACAAAATCCATGAATAGGATCAACTGTACCTTCATTTGGCATTGTTAAGTAGGCCTGGTCTCCTCATTACCTGGGGGGTGGGAAAATATGCAATTTAGGCCAGTTATGGAAAATGAAGACTCTGCAATTATTATTCCCCCCTCCCATATCTGAGACATAGTATTTAAGTTTTGTATTCTGGTGTTATTTAGAAAAAAAATGGAAGCCCCATGAGGGCAGAAGGCCTGTTTTATTCAGCTGGAACAGTGCCTCACACATAGGAGATACTCAATCAGTCAGTATTTGTTGAGTGAATCAGGAATGAAATCACATTCAAATCAATAGATTGATCTCCATGGATTAAACTTTGTTGTATCATTGGGCTATGATAGTTACAATTCCACAATTTTTATAACTTCACATATGTGAGTGAGGAAAAAAGCCCTCAATTTTCAAGCTCTTTGGGAAAGTCTAAGTCAGGGAATCACAATTCAACGACAGGACTTTCTCAACCAAACTTAGGGCAGAGAATGGATGGAACAAGTCAACTCCCTGGCTGACTGGTACCTTCCAGCAGAGAAGGAAAATGTCTTCTACAGCTATAGGGGAAGAAAACGGCAGCTGGCTGATTTCAGATCAGCACTGGGAAGGAAGCTGATTTCATCTGGGAAGTGAAGGTGGTTAGGTGATAATTGACATCTCCTCCCTGTCTCTGCTCTCAGAAACTGAGTTGATTATGCTTTTTAAATACTTTATGAATTCCATCCGGATCTCCTCAGGGTCATCCTCAAGGTTTGAGTGCACCAGCTTCAGCTTGTTCAAGGGTGGCGCTTGAAAAAGAAAAATAAAGTTAATTAGGCATGATCTTTTATTAGAGGCCCTTTCTAGCTCCAAATGACCTGACACTTCTAGAAGCCAATTTGTTTAACTTTCCATTGGGTCATCAGAAGTCATTGTGCATTTTTGCATAGGAAAACAGAAAAACATGTCATGACTTTTCCAATGATCCAATAAAATTGAAAAATAAAGTTATGTCTCACTTGACACAACCATACAGAGAAGGGTTTCACCACACTGGCACCTAGAGATACGATAGAAACTTTACAAGCTGCTCTCGGGACTTCTTTGTTCTTCAAGCAGAAAGGAAGAGATTCTCTCTCTCTCTCTCATTTTGTTTCTGAATATTTTCTGAGTTGTTTTCCAGGGTCACTGAAATGTGTGGTTCATGTGCCAACTGGAGAATTTTCCTGAGTAAAGGCCTGTCAGGAAAGCCCCAACAATACCAATGAATGGCTAAATCCAGATCCCTCCCTCTTCATGTCTGCCTGCTTCTAAGTCTATATACTTGCTTGGATGATACAATGGGTCTTCCAACCTGATACGATGGATCTTCCAACCTGGCAATTCTGATTTACATGGTGAGAACAAATGCCTCGGACATAGTAGGTGCCCAAGAACTGCACGTACTGGCTGATTCCAAAGATTTAAGCAATACATAAGTTCCCCAAATGGTCAAGACAAAAGAAAGAGAAATTCATCTACTTACACAAAGACAGGCTCCCTTTATCACCTCCAGAGCCTGGTTTATGATGTGCAATTAAGAGACACTGAGTATCCTGTAAGAACTGCTGCTGGACAAAGCAGGAATACCACATTTCAATTTCTTTCAAGTGGCTGGGGATGTCAGCATTGAAGATGATCACCACTCCATGTGCATCCTTCATCAGAGCAGGCCAGCAGGACTCGAACCTATGAGGCAGAAGAGGGGCCAGAATGGACAATGGGTCATTCTGGTCTCCGTGCACTTGAGAAAGAATGTCTTAGTGTTAATTATTAGTTGGTGACTTCTAATTGTATCCTAATCCATTCATTCAAGTTTATAAAGCAATGCATGTCACCAAATAATTTCTCAAACCCCTCATACATGCTGGGAAACACATTGGACCCAACTCCACAGTGTCTGGCAGACAGCTGATTTTCAAATCATTGGATGAAGCAGACCTCCTTTAAAGGAAACATACTTTGCATCACCGCCACAGTCCCATAGCTCGAATTCACACCCCGTGCCTTTGTTGTTGCTGGTAACATGTGGGTTCTCAAATTCCAGGATCCTAAAAATAACAACAGCAGCCCTTACAGTTAGGAAACATTATTCTTTTAGAATGCCAACATCACCAAAAAGTAGGAGGTGGGTGATGGCTGTCAGGGCTCACCTCACTCCCTGGGTTGGGTTGTATTCAGTGATGTCAGAAGATTCGGTCAGAAAGTTGGCCAAAACAGTTTTTCCACTCTGTGAAATAGAGCAAATGAGTCTTTGCTAAAGAACAGAAAAGTCACCCATAAGAGAGGCTGCAGTAGCTGGCCTGGAACTAGGTGTGATGGAATACAGGCCAATGCTAGCCTGAGATCACCAGGTCAGAGAGTGTCTCTGGATGGGACCTCGCTGCAGGGAGGGCACAGCCTGGTCCAGGACCCAGGGGGCATACAGTTCTAGTGCTGGCTGTGCTGCTGGGTGACTTCCCCCACACTGATTTCCCTGGCTGGCTCTCAGATAACTTATCTGAGAACAGAAACAAATCTTTATAGTGTGTGTCTCTCTCCTGCTTGTTCCTTTCCACATCCTCGCAAAATCACAGTCTGTTAAGTACATGAAGCCAGTGGGGCTCAGAGAGGGGACAGGAGTTCTTCAAGGTCACACAGAGGATCAAGGTCAGAGCTGAGTCCTAGGCCTGGGAACTTCAGGCTAGGTATGCCACAATCTCGCATAGGGC